ACACACACACTCTCAAACACAGACACACACACACTCTCAAACACACACACACACACACACACACACACACACACACACACACACACACACACACACACACACACACACACACACACACACACACACACACACTCTCAAACACAGACACACACACACACACACACACACACACACACACACACACACACACACACACACACACACTACACACACACACACGCGCACACACACACGCACACGCACACAAACACACACACGCACAGGCCCACCTAACCATTGTTTTTATGCGAACCTCCCATTGATTGATGTCAGACATCTCATTTAGTTTTTCTACACCTCACATTCTCCAAAACCAAACACCCCTTCAAAAGAAAAGCCCTATAGATGTAATGCTACTTGAACTTATACTACTACGTACATCTGATATTTAACTCCTTCAGCCTACTTTCAGCTGCACAAACTATTCAACTATTAACTTATTCAGCTATTTCAGGACAATGAGGCTATACATGTTGTTCATACCTTTTTTAAACCTTTTCTTTTAAATATTAAGCTTTTTCTACATGTTTGTAGGTAAAAGCAGCTACCATTCAGCTAATAACATATTCAGCTTTTTCTGCATTTTTGTAGCTAAAAGCAGCTACCATTCAGCTAATAACATATTCAGCTTTTTCTGCATTTTTGCTGCTAAAAGAAGCTACCATTCAGCTAATAACATATTCAGCTTTTTCTGCATTTTCAGCTAAATTCAGCCATAAATGTTCACAGTTTACAGCATTCGTACGCATTTTCTGCAGGAAATGCATTTTCTAGTTGTTATTGTTTTTCCATTCATCACAGTCATTTTGAGTGTCTCTTTAGTCTATGTGGCAGATGCTTTTTTTATATATCTATTGTGAGGGTCTTCTGGTCTTTTTGTGTGTCTTTGTAGTTGTTTTATATCCGTTTGCAGTCATTCTATGTCTTTTGTAGTCTTTGTGTGTCTTTGCAATTATATCATGTCTCTTTTGGTCATTATGAGTCTCTTCCTGGTTGTGTCTTTAAGGGATATTTTGAAGATAAAAGGCAAGTGGGACCAGACCCTTTCGGCATCATGACTACACTTGAGAATCTTGCAAATGCAGGTATTTCTGCAGGGCAGGAAGAAAGTTGCAAAACAAATTACAGACAAAAACAACGTCAGCCTAATATTGTGACAAAGCAGCAGTAAATGTTTACCATTTAATATGAACACACCTGCATGCACCAAGTCCTTTATTTGCTCAGGTGGTGGTGAATAACACTGAGGATATTTATGGACCTGTCTCTGCAACAACCTGTTGTGTAACTAGAACACAGATGCATGAAAAAAATCAATGACAATAAACTGGAGAGGGACACAAATCACAGCGACACAGAAGCTTTCCAGAGGCCCGTCCCTGAGGCTGAGTTTAAAGGGAGGTGATATACAACAGTCTCCCCTCCAATAAAAGCTGCGTACCCAGCGGGATGTTTTACAGTTGATAAGTACCAGGAGCCGTCTTGTAAAAAGTCCTACTTTAATGAACAGGCCTGGTGGCTGCTCTGTGACTTTAAAACGTCCTCTGGGATTCACCACAACGGTCTCAGAGCGGTGTTAAAGTGCGTCACCGCTCTTTTCAATGATCCTGCCTACTCACTGTACCTGCAGAGACATGCAGATGGTTAAATGTCTCACTGCTAATAAAGAGACATCCTGATGTTGTTTTTCTTGGCCTTGGCTCAAGCAACTGGAACTTGGTGTGGCAGAAAACACCAGGCTGAATGTGAAGCCTTTACGTAGCTTTATTGCAGCTTATTCTGAATTTGATCAATTGTAACTTTAACCAACTACCATCATGGCTTCCACATGCCATCCTGAACCATAGTCTTTCTGTGAAAAATGCAGTAGTCAAAGAGGCCCTATTGTGCTCGTTTTCAGGTTCATATCAGTATGTAGTAGTGTCTCTATATTATATAGAGCCTTGATGAGAAGACTTCTAGTCAAACATGAGGAACTGCCGCCAACACTGAAAACGTGACGTGGATCATAAATATATCAGCAATTAAACAACATCTTACATTTATTTTCACACAATACGTCTCTTTGCGGGATCAACACTAATTCGGCTGACTTTAATATTTGATCCAATTGGTAGACAGGCTGCAGTGGCGGCTGGTGGAAAATATTTTTGGTGTCGCTGTTGATATAGTGAGTAAATAATTGTTTTTTGGGAGAAATGACCCCTTAAATTGGGACTTCTGGTGATGTAATGGCCCCATAAAATCGTGGTTCTAGGGCCAGGAACAACCAGGCTGAGTCGGGCTGAGTATGCTAAACTAACTGCGGTCAAGCCAGCCTCCACTCGGGAAAACCTAGTCAAGCCAGCCCTCACGTGATATTGCGGTGCGCGAATATCCTATGCATTACGGTAGAGTAAAAAAAAAAATCATCCCTCTGTGTTTAGATGAGAATAAAACAAAAACTGTCCAGTATCAAAGACTTATTTTACTTCAGGGTGATAGCAGGACAACCCATGTCGTCACTCAGAAAAAATCAGGACACTCTGATGTAGAGTTTCAAAATAAAAGACCTTTGAATTCTCATATATGAGCTATCATCCCTGT